CAAGCCTGGGAGACAACGGTGGGCAGGAGCAGGAGCAGGGACCTAGGGCTCATGGGGCAGGATTAGGGGCTGTGTTTGGAGTTGCAGCAACAGCTCTGGGAAGAGCTGGGGAGTTGTGCATACCTGGTTGTTGCAGTGGGAACCATTGGTCAGGACTGGGGCTCCCACGAACCTAGCACTGTGCTCAGAGCTGTCTTTGCAGCATCTATCTCTTTGAGCCCTGAGCACAACCCTAAGAGACTGATGATCATCTATCTCCATTTTACCAACGAGCAAACAGGCTCTGAGAGGTGATGGCACTTCCTTAAGTAGCAAGTAAGTAACAAAAGCAGGATTGGAACCCAGTGTTTCAGTCTGCAGAGCCTGTGAAAGCAGCTACTAGTAAGGACTCACCAAATGCCAGTTCCTTCACATATACTGTTGCTGATTCTTAGAACTTTTCAGGTAGTAGTTATTATTTGTCTGCTTTTACAAATGCAATCGCAGGCTCACAGAGATTAAGTAACTTCTCTGAGGGCATCAGTTCCTTAATGGAAGAGTCTGGGCCTGCCTGAATCCAGAGCATGTTTTCTCTCTTCTTTGCTGCTGCCTCAGAGTTCCTAGGCCCAGAAGTGTGTGTGTCCCACTATCCCTGCTTTCAAGGGGTGTGTGGTCTAGCTTGAGGGACAGTGTACACACACAGCAGTCCTATCACAACTCAGCTGAGCAGTGAGTGTATTCAGGTGCTGGGCGTGAGGCACGAGGGCCCCCAGGACTGAAATGCTCAGAGAAGTTGCTGGAAACTAGACTAGGCGAGCCCTGATGAGCAAGAAGAAGGTAGGGGCTGGGACTTGGTGGGAGCAGGGGCAGGAGATCTGAGGCTCCAGGGACTCGTGGGGTAAGGGTAGTGGGAGAAAACCTGGGAACAGAGGTTAGGCCCAATTGTGGAGGGCCTTGATATCCAGACAAGAAGTTTGTTCTTTATCTTGTCTCTTAGGCCAGAGAAGGCTTGTGAGCTGGGAAGGGACTTGAAAGGGGTTATTTAGAGGAATGTGACAGTGTGTGCAGGGAGCAGGGAATCTTCTGAAGAAGCTGTTTGGTGATACAGGCCTGGACTGGATTAGGGTGTTGGGAATAGAGAGTGAAAGATCATGAAGGACGAGCTTGACCACACCTAGCAACTGGCCAGGCAGTGGTGAGGGGGAAGGAAGGGTCTGCAAAGAGACTCTAAACTGGGTCCCTTTGCCTCTGCCACTCACTGGCTCTGTGGCCTCAGGCAAATCCCCTGACCTCTCTGGGCCTGTTTGCTCATTTGAAAACTGAAGGGGTTAGAAGAGAGGCAGTCAGCAAAAGAACATTTACCAAGTATCTGCTGTGTGTCGGGGTTGTGTTATAAACTCTTCTCGAGCTTCCTTCCAGCTCTTGGTTTGTGCCATCGGCAGAAATAAGGAGCCAGGCAGGGTTAAACCATTCATTATGACACTAAAATTTACAAGAATATCTCGCACTCAAACTTTGGAAACTTGAGTTCATATCCTGGTTCTGCCACCAGCTGTGTGGCTTTGGGAAAGTCACTTAACCTCACTGAAAAGTGTCCTTAACTGTAACCTGGAGATGACAATGGTAACCTTCCCTCCTGGATGTTACAAGATGAAAGGAGATAATATATGCAAAGTGCTCAGCATATAGTAGGCCCTCAGTGAAGTGTTCGCTTTCCCTTGCCTCTTCTTTCTCTCAGTAGTTCTATGAGCTAATAATAATGTGCACAGTTCTTAAGCGTTTACTTTGTGCCACTTCACATATACTAATGCATTTTGTCCTCACAACAGCCCTATGAGGTGGGAATTATTATTAGCATCATTTCAGTGATGGAGGAAATAGGCACAGAGAGGTTAAATGATTTGCCTCGTCACACATCTAGCAAATGGTATCATCAGGAGAAACCCAAGTAGGAAGAGGTAGAGCCAGGATTCATGCCTCATTCTACCTGTTATTTCCATTTTGTAGATGAGGAAACTGAGGCTCAGAGAAGTTCATTTGACTTAAACATCACATACCACCAGCCAGTGGCAAAACCACGTTTCACAGTGTGTCCATTGGCCTCAAGCCCTCTGCCCTTTACCATGCTGCCAGTTTTAAGGAAGAGATGCTGAGAGGCTCAGTTCCATTTTAAACACACCGTGGTTGGGGTAATGGGGAAACAGCCTAGAGGAAGTCTGTATGGGAGCTGGGAATGTGGGACATGAGTCTATTTGCCTCATGGATGCAGCCAAGAGCCTAGAATAGTGCCTGGCACATGGTAGGTGCTCAGTGAATAATCTGCGGAGGCAAGTGGCCAAACTGAAGATCGTATCTGAGGAGCTGATCCAGTGGGAGTGATGGCTGGGAGCATAGCTGAGGGCTGGGGACCACGCAGCCCTGCTGACCCGGAATTCTGTCCAGACAAGAGCTACTGCTCTGGGGGCTTTGGTTCTCTTGTGGCCTGGGGTGCTAGCAGCTCAGTGGGTAGCCCCGTGGGCTTCGCATTTGGCAGACCTAGGTTCAGATCCCTGCTCTGCCAGTATACCAGCTGCGTGACTCAGACAAGTTACTTAGACCTTTCTTTCTCTTTTTCCTTTTCCTTAGGTTTTTACTGAAGTGTAACGGGCTTACTAAAGGTGTACCGATCATAAGTGTTCTGTTTGCTGAGTGCTCACAAAGTGAACACGCACATGTAATCAGCACCCAGGTCAAGAAATGGTGTACGAGCCTTGTCCTGGGATGCCCCCATTCCCCTTTCCAATGACTGCCACTCCTCCAAGGGCAGCCACAGTCCTGACTTCTAACACCATAAAATACTTTTACCTGCTTTTGAACATTTTGAGGGGTTTCTTTACTTTATACTATGTTAGTGATATTCGTGCATATATTGCTGAGTGCAGTTGGGGGACATTCATTCTCATCGTTCTATAGAATTCCGCTGTGTGTTTATAAACTACATTTTTTTATCCATTCTACTATTGATGGGCATTTGGGTAGTTCCAGGTTTGGGTTATGGGAATTGTTGCTGTGGACATTCTTGAACATGTCTTTTGGTCCTTATCAAATTGTGCCATTTCTGTAGGGAAGACACTTGGGTGTGAGATTGTGGGGCGCATATGGTGAGGTTTGGTAGTGCCAGTTTTCCCAACTAGTCATCTGAGATTCCTAGTTGCTTTGCATTTTTGCCAACTTTTGATATTTCTTTATTGGTTTGTTTTCTTTCATTTTAGCCTTTCTGGTGCCTATATAGCGGTAGCATATTGTGGTTTTAATTTGCATTTCCTGATGACTAACAAGTACAAGCGCTTTTTCATGTACTTATTAGCCATTTGGACAGCTGCTTTTATGAAATGCCTGTTTGAATTTTGTGTCCACATTTCAATTCAGTTGTCTGTCTTTTCCTTACTGACTTATAAGCATTCTTTATATATTCTGGATACAAATCCTTTCTCCTTTGTCAGATAAGCATATTGTAAATGTCTTTTCCTACTCTAAAGGTTGACTTTTCATTCTTCTAATAATGTCTTTAGATGAACAGAAGTTCTTAATTTTGATATAATGCAGTTTATCAAATTGCTCTTTTATGGTTAGCCCATGAAAGATTTAAGAAATCTTTGTCTACTTCAGTTGTGAAGCCATTCTGTTTTCTTTATTCAAGACTTTTGCATTTAGAGCTCCATCCATCTGGAATTGAATTTGTGTTTGGTGGGAGACAGGTGCGCTTACATTTTTTTCCCATTTATATATCCACTGGATCCAGTAGTGTTTATTGGGAGAAGACCATCTTCTTTCAGGGTACAACATTGTTGCCTTTATTAGAAACCACATGATCATATATATATGTTGGGTCTGGTTCTGGATTCTCTTTTCTGTTCCATTGGTCAGTATTTCTATGCTTGCACCCAAACCAGGCTCTCTTAAGTACTATAGCTTTATCATAAGTCTTGATGACTAGTTGTATAAATCTAGCTTTTGTTCTCGGCCCTTTGCATTTCCATATGAATTTTAGAATGGGTTTGTCAGTTTCCCTGCCCCCCACCCCCAGGATTATGTTGAATCTATAGAATAAATTAGAGAGAGTAACTCCTTTTCTAATATTGAGTCCTCCAATCCATAAATATGTTATAGCTCTCTATTTCTTTTTCTCTAAAATGTTATGAAAAATTTCAAACACACAAAAGTAGGAAGAATCAGTACAATGAATTCCTAAACATTCACAATCTAGATTTCATAGTTCTTACTAATATATATGTATAATTCTTATTAAACCATTTCATAGTAAATTATAGGCATCATAGGCACTTTACCCACAAATACTTCAACATGTATCTAACACTAAACCTCCTACATAACCACAATTCATTATCACATCTAGGAAAATTAGTAGTTGTCAAATTTCTGATCTATAGTCATTTTTCTCCAGCACCCCTCCAGATATCTTTTGTTGCTGTGTTCTGTTTTTCAAAACAGGATCCAATCTAGGATCATGCATTGCATTGTTTTCATCTTCTAGATCTCTTTTAATCTAGAACCGTCTCTCCTCCTCTCTTTCTGTAAGTGACATTGACTTTTGTTACAGATCAAGCCAGTTGTCTTAGATGTCCCACATTGTGAATGTGATTGTTTTTACTTTGTCCTGTATCTCCTGAACCTCCTGGAGGCGGGAGCTTAGATCTAGGCTTGATTGGATGCAGGTAAACCTCACTAAGCCTTCCCAGGTCTCCTCTGATAGCCTGTCTCAGAGTTGTGTAAGGCCAGTGGTGTATGAGCAGGTGTGTAAAGCTTTAGCGTAGTGCTTGGCACATAGCAAGTCTCAGTAGGTGGTAGCGGCTCTTAGTACTTGTCCCCACGTTGGGCCAGCATTTTACCCCAACATTTGTTCCCCAGCAGTAACCTCCCTGAGGCTTCTCTTTCCTAGCTGGGCAGCAGTGGCTTTCCCGAGCTGGGGCTCCTGCCTCTGGGCTTAGACCCCCCCTATCTTTCTCTCCTCCCACCCTCAGACAACACAGGCAGTTCAACATACCGGCCTCCCCCTCGGACCCGGGAGGTGATGATCAACGGACAGATGGTGAAGCTGAAGTACTGCTTCACCTGCAAGATGTTTCGGCCGCCCCGGACCTCGCACTGCAGTGTCTGCGACAACTGTGTGGGTACGTGGGAGGCAGTGGGGAGGGACGCGGGGAGCCTTGAGAGGGACAGGGGAGTCATTCATGGGGGTGACTCCATGAAATATCCAGGGCTGAGCAGGAAGTCTGGTTCACCCAGACTTGCTCTAACTGAGGAGGGGCTCCTGAGTGTGGCCAGTGGTGTCCTGGCTTCAGCCAGGATTGGTGGACTCCTTCTCCCCAGCTCTGAAGTACGGGGTGGACAGAGAGAGGCCCTGAGCCGTTCACCCGGGCTTCAGCCTGGTTCTCAGTAGGTCCAATTTCCCAGGAACCAGAGATTGGAGCAATAACATTCTAGATATGTTTGGGCCAAAAAGAGAATGATATGCCATCCAGTGGCCCAGAGCCTGCTATAGTTAAAGACTTTGGTCTGAATCTGGGAACAAAGGAGTTTAACTGGTGAGAAGATGTAGCCTGGATTGGAAGCTAAGATCCTGACCCACAACTGCAGTGGTTGCTGAAGAACCAGAGGCTGTTTTGCTCCCTCTCCCTGCTCTGCAGAGGCCAGGCAGCTGTGATGGGGACCAAGGGTGCTCCCCTGGGAGAGCGTCTTAAGGGAAACGCTGTGTGAGACGACCCCGGCGAGCTGAGCCATGGTGACTGTGCACAGTGCCCATGATGAGCTCATCGTGCTGGCGCAGCACACCCTGAGCAGGAGCACAGTGGGGAACACCCAATGACGGCAGGCAGTGAGGTGGGTGACTCGGTGGGTGTCAGTCATCCCTGAGGCTCTGCCCCACCCACCCCTGTGATGGGCGCTGGTCTTGGCATGAGGCCAGCAACGGGCTGGTGACCCACATTCCCAGAGAGGACTTTCCTCACCAGTCTGGGTGTGACACCACCCCCACGGACACAGTGCTGGTGTGAGCTCACCCTCTGACTGGGCCTCTGATGCTGGTTCTCCCTGAGTTACATAGTGACCCAGCCGCTCCCTGACCCTCTAGTTCTAGAGCAAAGGACAGGAGTGACTGGTCATTGGTGTGTGGCTGGGTGGTAGGCCAGGCAACAAGCACTTCTTGTGGATCTTCTTTATGCCAGCCACTGCTGGACCCTGGCGTTCAGCTCTCTGAGGTCAGTACAGGTTCCCTCATGTTTTATAATAAACAATAATATGTAATATAATAAAACCAAAAATATCTTGTTTTATTACACTTTGCTTTATTATGCTTCACAGATAATTATTTATGAATTGAAGATTTGTGGCAACCTTATGCCCAGCAAGTCTGCCAGCGCCATTTACCCAACAGTGGTTTGCTCACTTTGTGTCCCTGTGTCACATTTTGGTAATTCTCACAATATTTCAAACTTCTTCATTATTATTATATTTGTTATGGTGATCAGTGATCTTTGATGTTACTACTGTAATTGTTTTAGGGCACCACAAAACTTAATCGATAAATATTGTGTGTGTTCTAACTGCTCTGCCAACCGACGGTTCCCCCGTGTCTCTCCCTGTCGGGCCTCCCTATTCCCTGAGACACAACAATATGACATTAGGCCCGTAAGCACCCCTGCAGTGGCCTCTGAGCACTTAAGTGAAAGGGAGAGCTGTATGTCTCTCGCTTTAAATGAAAAGCTAGAAATGGTTAAGCTTAGTGAGGAAGGCGTGTCAAAAGCCAAGGGGGATCCAGAGCTTAGTCCCCTTGGACCGGTTGGCCAAGTTGTGAATGCAAAGGAAGAATTCTTGAAGGAAATGGAAAGTGCTATTCCAGTGAACACAGGAATGATAAGAAAGTGAAACAGCCTTACTGCTGATACAGAGAAAGTATAAATGGCCTGGATAGAAGATCAAACCAGTCATAACATTCCCTTAAGCCAAGCCTAATCCAGAGCAAGGCCCCGAGTCTCTTCAATTCTATGAAGGCTGAGAGAGGTGAGGAAGCTCCAGAGAAAAGTTGGAAGCCAGCAGAGGTTGGTTCATGAGGCTTAAGGAAAGAAGCCCATGTCCATAACAATATGGAAGTGCAGGTGAGGCTGCATGTGCTGATGGAGAAGCTGCAGCAAGTTGTTCCGAACATCTAGGCAAGATCATTAGTGCAGGTGGCGGCACTACTCAGACTGTCAGTGTAGATGAAACAGCCTTCCATTGGAAGGAGAGGCTACCTAGGACTTTTTTTTGCTAGGGAAGAGAAGTCAATGCCTGGCTTCAAATCTTCAAAGGACAGGCTGACTGCCTTGTTAGGGGCCAACACAGCTGGTGACTTGAAGTTGGAGCCAGTGCTCATTGACCACTCTGAAAATCCTAGGACCCTTAAGAATTACACGAAAGCTACTCTGCCTGTGCTCTATAAATAAAACAAAGCCTGGATGACAGCTCATCTGCTTACAATGTGATTTACTGACTATTTTAAGCCCACTGTTGAGACCACTGCTCAGAAAACAAGTTTCCTTCTAAAATATCACTGCTCATTGACAATATGCACCTAGTCACCCAAGAATTCTGATGGAGATGTGCAATGAGATTAATACTTTTATGTCTGCTAACACAACATCCATTCTGCAGCCCATGGATGAAGGGGTAATTTCAACTTTCAAGTCCTGTTTCAAAAGTACATTTCATAAGGCTGTAGCTACCATAGATAGTGATTCTCTTGTTGTTCTGGGAAAAGTAAATTGAAAACCTCTTGGAAAGAATTCACCATTCTAGATACCATTAAGAAAATCCATGATTCATGGAAGGTAAAATATCAACATTAATAGAAGTTTGGAAGTAGTTGATTCCAATCCTCATGGATGACTTTGAGGGGTTTGACTTCAGCAGAGGAAGTCGCTGTAGATGTGGTGGAAATAGCAAGAGAACTAGAACTGGAAGTGGACTGAAGATGTGGCTGAACTGCTGTGATCTCATGATAAAACTGCACTGGATGAGGAGCTGCTTCTTACAGATGTGCAAAGAAAGTGGTCTCTAGGGACGGAGTCTTCTGATGAATATGCTGTCAGGATTGTTGAAATGACAACACAGGGCTTAGAATATTACATAAACTTGGTGATAGGGTGGTGGCATGGTTGAGAGGATTGACTCCAATTTGAAAAGACATTCTACTATGGGTAAAATGCTACCAAACAGCATCACATGCTACAGACAAACTTTTCATGAAAGGAAGAGTCAAATCAATTCATTGTTGTGTTACTTGAAGAAACTGCCTCAGCCACCCCCACCTTCAGCGACCACCATCCCGATCAGTCAGCAGCCGTCAACATAGAGACAAGACCCTCCACCAGCAAACAGATTGCAAATCACTGAAAACTCAGATGACAGGTGACTTTTTCTAGCAATGAGGTATTTTTAATTAAGGTATGTACATTGTTTAGTTAGACATAATGCCATTGCACACTTAATAGACTATAGTGTAAATGTAACTTCTATATGCACTGAGAAACAAAAATTGCATTTGATTCACTTTATTATAATATTTACTTTATTGTGGTCTGCAACCAAACCTGCAATATCTCCGAGGGTTGTCTGTGTGAAACTACACATGGCAAAGTTCTGGAAAAGATAAGCCATAGGGCAGAAAATGTGGCCCTGACTTGTCTGGGGTCTAGGAGACTTTCTTAAGGAAATGGCTTTGCAGCTGAGACATGAAAGAGTAATTGGCCTTAACAGATAAAGAGACGGGGAAGAACGTGTGTGGCGGTGGGAACCACTGCACTAAGGACCAGAAGCGGGATGTGTCCAGGGAACTGAGTCAGCTGGTGAGGACAGAGTGATGGGGTACGAAAGCCCCTTCTGTGGCGTGAGGCCTGTATAAACCCCTGTGCAGGTTGCAGGCCAGGCCAGCACTAACCCGACTCTCCTGGGCCTTTTCCAGAACGGTTTGACCATCACTGTCCCTGGGTGGGCAACTGTGTGGGGAGACGGAACTACCGCTTCTTCTACGCGTTTATTCTCTCCCTCTCATTCCTGACGGCCTTCATCTTTGCCTGCGTGGTCACCCACCTGACGCTGCGTGAGTTGGGGGCAGGGGTGCACGGGGGCGGGCCACCAAGCTCAGCCAGGTCAAGGGGCTGTGATCACTGTCCCTCTGAGCTGTGTCCTCCCCTGCTTCTTCCTTCCCAGGCTCTCAGGGAAGCAACTTCCTCTCCACTCTGAAGGAGACACCAGCAAGATATCCTTTGTCGCCTAGTGGGTGCCCTCGCGGGACCAAGGCTCCTGCGCTGGGACGGGTGTCCGCACCTCATCCTGTAGTAGAGGGGAATGATGTCAGGCTGACGTTGGTCCTCTAGAATTTGATACATCAGCTTCTGCTCTCGAGGCCCATGCCAGGGCTGATCCTAAACAGGCTGTAGTGGTAACTCTCAGCAGCCATGGTCCCTGTCTTACTTTAAGACACCAAGCTCCGGGGACCACATCAGGCTATGGAATCCTCTGTTCCTCCACCATCCCTTACTCTGGGCTCATCCTGCTCTTGAGGGCTCCTAAACCCCCCCTTGGAGCCCAGGAGATGCCCCTGCTGAGGAGTGGTGAGTGGGCCCCAAGAAGGTCACATGCTCATTTCCTGTCTGGGGAAGGAGCTCCAGGGAAGGACCAAGAAAGGCCGAGGATCCCATCCCCAGTCCCGTGTGGGTCCTTGACCACCCTGCCCACTGTGCTGGAATTGGTGATCTGCTTTTTCTCCATCTGGTCCATCCTGGGCCTCTCAGGGTTTCATACTTACCTCGTCGCCTCCAACCTGACAACTAATGAAGACGTGAGTAAGGCTGGAACAGCCGTGCATTCCTGGGCAGGGTCCCCATTAGGGGGCAGGGCTGAGGGGGCTGGAGTAGCAGCGGGACAGCCCTGACTCTCAGACTGCTGGGGAACCATGGGTGGCAGACAGTACCTCCTCCCATGCTCACGGCTTGGCCCTGGGAAACCCAGCCCAGGTTTGTGAGGCCCCACATGCCTCTGCCCCTCAGTGTGGCTCCAAGAGCCCCAGGTGGCTTTAACCCCTCAAGGGGCCACACTCCTTCCATTTGGCCAGCACATTACCAGTTCCAGAGTTCTTTATTTCCAACATCTCTCTGGGTCAGAGCCAGAGTTGCGCCCAGAAACCATGGCTGTGCACTGTGCAACCACACTGCACTTGTAGGCAGAGAGATGTGACTGTTCTCGGTGTCCCTGGGACTCCCTGAGCATCCTTACTGGGGTGGGCAACCAGGACAGGACCAGGAGGCTCCACCAGCCCTCCCTACCCCACTGCCTTGTAGGCCTTCACCAGTAAGCATTGCCTGAGCACCCACTGTGTGTCCAGCCCTGAGCCAGACCGGACTTTTCTTTCCCAGCCTCCCAAATAATTACAAAGCAAATAAGAGCATCTGTACCAGGGCCACCATCTGATACTGCCCACAGAAAACATAATCCTTGATCTCAGACTTTCATTTGGGGAAGCAGCACATGATAGGATGTCATGTGCTGGGTGATAGGTACAGAGCAGAAATGACATCAGCCAGCATCTCCCAAGGCAGTTCCTGGGGGCTGGTCCTGCAGGATATTACTAGGAGTTAAGCAAAAAACAGTGTTATAGCCAGATAAATTTGGAAAACTATGGGTTAAAGTCTGGTAGGTATCCTTCATGCTAAACTCCTCAGTGCCAGCTTCACAGTGCTAGAGGTGCACAGGACTTATGTAGCACTCCAACTATGCTATTGGAGAGCTCCCTATTTTTCTAATGCGGATTGAGAACAGAGAAATGGTGATCTGTCCAGCATCCTGCAACGAGGCAGTGGCAGAGCCAGGGAAGAGAGGGTGCGGCAGAACGTTTCCCTTTGGGAGCCTCTCCAGCTCTGCTGTCTTCTGTCCTGGTTGGGGCCTCCTCCTCTCTGTTGGGTATGACCAGTGTCCAGCAGTCCCCCACAGTCTCACTGAGTAGCCTAGGTTAAAGACATGTCCCTTCCACTATACAGCCAGAAATTATTTCAGAATTTGCCAGTTTTCCCCAGCCTCCAGACTCCCTCCTGGAAAAGCAAGCAGAGGAGGTACTTGACCCAGACCTCCTTCCTGCCTGCAGATCAAAGGCTCGTGGTCCAGCAAGAGGGGCGGTGAGGCCTCTGTCAATCCCTACAGCCATAAAAGTGTCATTACCAACTGCTGTGCTGTGCTCTGCGGCCCCCTACCCCCCAGGTAAGTTGCAAGGCTTGGCCTGGCTAGTGGAAGTAGCCCTGTGAGTCCACACCTCTCAAAAACGCTCTGGAATCAGGAGACCTTTCCCCACACCATAGACACCTTCTGTCCGCCATCCCTTCCTGAATGCACTTGGCATTTGTCACATGAAGGAATTCTGTGGAGTTGTAATTTTTAATCACATGTGCTCATTGTAGAAAAACACTAAGTACATAATATAAAACAGAAGAGTATTAGATATCACATGTACTCTTGCTCTCCAGGAAAAACTACAATTAATGTTTTGGCTTCGCTTGAGCAACGCTGCCCTTCTAGTGCTGATGGCCGGGCTGGGTGGAGCCTCCATCCTCCTGGGCGCAGCAAGCCCTGGTGGCTCAACCCTGCTGGGAAGCGCCCCATCCATCTGGACACCAGGGGGCGCCAGAGCACCAGAGAGGGAATATCTCCTCACACACAGTCCCCACTTCCTGACCAATATGCCTGTCACTCATCCTGCCCCAAGGGAGGCACAGTAGGAATTTCGCTCTCTCCCCAGGTGCCCTTTCATCCTTGCTTTTCCCCTCATCTGAAGCTTGGTTTCTTGGCAGCTAGATAGAAAGGTGGGCCGATTTGAATTAACAGTGAATAAATTCTGTGGCCAAAAACCAGGTATCCAGACAGCAGCAAGGGCCCTTCCAGAAAGGAAGTGTCTTGAGTTCCCAGCTGGAGAGCAACTCCCCTTCCCTTAACCTTTCTAGGGTTGGGTCCTTCTGTGGTTGGGTGATGGACTGCCATCCAGCCCTTGGCCAGGAGCTCTGGGATCAGGCAGGGCTCTCACGTGCCCTTGTGTTTTGGCAGCCTGATTGACCGGAGGGGATTTGTGCAGTCTGACGCCATGTTGCCCTCACCCATCAGAAGCAGCGAGCCAGCCTGTGGAGCCAAGCCTGATGCCAGCATGGTAGGAGACCACCCCTGAACTGGGCTCAGTACTTGCCACCTGCTGGCCTGTGCCCCTCTGCACTCACCTGCTGCGCTCCACACCTGCCAGGACCCTCCCCATTCCACCTGAGGGAAGCAGAGCCGCCAAAGACTTAAGTCTTTTCATATTTATTTCCCACCCTGCGCGTGGCTTTCCCACACCATTCCCTGGCTGTACCCTCTGCTTCCCAAACCCAGGTTCCCACACCCTTGGGCCCTAGGTTCCCCCAGCTGATGGGTGGCAGGATAGAGAGGCCAGGGCCCCTGAGGCCGCCCAGAGGACGGCCTGTGCCAGGGCAAGCCCTGTGTGAGTGAGGTGTGGACTGAGTGGGATACCTCCCAGCCAGTGGAGCTGCTGGGCCCTGCTGAGCCAGCTTGGGAGGGAAGCAGCCCCATGAGCCGTTAGCTCTGGATAGGGGGCTGTGGGGCTGTGGGAGGGGATGCTTCCATGGGCTGCTGTGGGTTGGAGGCTCCTTCATTCTTTTAGTGATGGTCATTTCTTCCATTTTTGTTTTGTATGTAATTGGCCAATAGGATGGAGCTGGGGTTCCAGGTGGAGAGGGCAAAGTTGGGGGTGTGTATGGTGGGGGGTGGGGTCAGCCTGTGCCAGAGGAAGCCAAACCAGCCAGCCAGGCCCCCAAGACCTCAGCTCCTGCATGATTCCTGGACAGCACACTAGGAGGTGGGAGCCTCCCTCTCTCTACCCGTGGAGGGTCTCTAAGGGATCCCAGCCTGGTGCCCTGCCTCTCCCAAGTCAGGTCCGGGGATGGGCAGGTTATACTCATGCTGGCAATACTTGAAACGGGTTTATTAATGCTAGGTATTTTGCACAATTTTATAGACCTCTTTTCTATATAGCATTTTTTAAATGGAAGAAGAAAAAAATAGCCACATTGCTCTCTCTGTAGTGCCAGGTTAAGGGTTATTGGAAGGCAAGTTAGTTTTAATAAGTTTATTACAAGAGACCTTCTGGCTGTGAGTGAGAGTGTGTGCGTGTGTTGCGTGTGCCCTTGTATGAATGTGCCTGGCTCCCACTTCCCCGCATCCCCTGGGCTGCCCTGCTCCCTGCCATCCCTTGGGTGTCTGCAGCAGCAGGAACAGCCTGAGCCATGGGGACAGAGAATGTGTGCATTGGTCACAAGAGTTCCCTGGGCTCCTGCTGCAGCTCAGCCCCCATCCTCCTATCTGTCTCTCCTCCCCGGACTTCAGACAACCAGTGGTTGGGGACTCTGCCATCCCCTACCCCACGTCAGCCACCCAGCCCCCAGGTCAGGCTTCTAGCCAGGACCTGCCCAGACGGGCTGAGGTCAGGCGTTGTGGATGGAGTAATGGCTGTGGGGAGCGGCTGCCGTCCTACAAGCCACACCCCCTCATCGAAGCCGAGCGTAGGATCCACAGTGCCAGGGCCTCGAGGAGTGGGAGTCTGCCACCTGGAGGCCACCTACCAGAGCAAAGGCAGGAAAGAGTAGCGTGGGCCAAGGGGCGAGTGAAGGTTGGCCTAAATCTGGGCCAGAACTCAGAGGATGTCCCTCCTCTGCTGGAGGCTATAGTTTCTTGTCAAAATAGATAGGAAATTATCCTTCTGTTCCCCAACTTGGCTCTTCAAGTGGGCTGAAGCCCTTGGGAAGTGACATAGGAATTCTGCTATCTTGCCCTTCCTTGCTGGGAGGCCAGTGGCCACAGGCAGCTAAGAAGTGGCAGCCACAGAGGGCCTCACTGGGAGAAACAGCTCCGCCCAGCCTCAGGCCCAGGGCCACGCTACAGTGCACTGGGAGGTAGGGGGGAGGCTGGCTGGAAGGAGGGGACTCCCTCCTGCCTTTTATTTAAGCCAGTATTCTTTGTTACTGCTTGTAATAAAACCTTTGTTTTTAAGAGTTGATTTGCTTTGGTTTGGTTTTTGTTTGCTCTTCCTTTGCTGAGGCCCCAACTGGCATCCCTCTCTTCTTTCAGCCACACTTGGTCTTGCCTGGGGAGATAGAAGGCAGGTGGCCCAACAATCTGGTTAAAGTTCCCCTTCCCTGGCTGCTGGAGGCAGAGCAGAGGGGGCTGCAGCTACTCAACAGGCGTGTAAAAGGAGGCCATCCTATCCTCTCTTGTCCTCTGTCTTCCCCTGCCTCGGAGGCTTGGAGACCCCCAAATTATTTTCCCTTGCAGTCTCTCTGCTCTGACATCTAGTGACTGCTCAGCTAAGATATTTATGAGACAGCCGATTGCACTTTGTGAGCCAGAGTCTCCCTGGCCTCCATCCCTGCCTGGGCAGCGGGGCCCAGCCAGACAACTCATAACGCTGGCTCGCCTCTCTGGTATCTCCCCCAGGAGGACACCTGTCAGGATTTTGCCATCTCCTGCACAGCCTGAGGGGAGCTAACAGGCCTCTTTGCAGAGGGTTAGCTGGTAAGATTGAATCTCCTGTCAGCCAGCACTGCCTGCCCCCCTCACATATCTCATCCTCATCGCATGCCTCGCCACCCCCATGGAGCCCCTCCATCTGTCTGGTGTGTGGTGTGGTGTGTGTGCTGGCGGTGGTAGGGCCCTCGGGGCTCCCCATGAAGCAGAAGGATGGGGTGTGGGGGCCAGGCAAAGGGCCCAGCCCTGCTCTGGACTGAGGAAGTAACTTCATGCAGAGCAGCTCTCCAGCTGGAGCAGGGGGTGAAGGGTGAGGCTGGGGAGGGGATGGCACACAGCCCTGAGATGCCTGGGCCTGTCCTGGTGCACTGGTGTGCAGGGGCCGTGATCACTAACACTTGTGTTCTGGCTTTCTGTCCCTGCCGAGCTTTCTCTCACCTGCCCGATTTCTCTCCTGCTTCATTGCCTGCTGCTCAAGCCTGGCCCTTCTGTGGGGAAGAGGCAGGCGCCGTGGCAGCGTCTGTGTCCTCTGGCACTGCTGCAGCCATCCTCTCTCCTCCCAACCCCGCTAACCCTCTCTCTTCTCCTCCTCTGCTGTCCTGCCTGGATCTCCAGTGTGTGCGGGGGCTTAAGGACCTCCTGAGGACCACTGCTCTCTGCCTCTCCAGGAGTGGCCTGGGGGGAGCCAGGCACCCGGCACCTCCACCTGCCTAACCTGTGGCCCATCTGCCACCATCTGTGCCTACAGGGTCTGTCCCCAGGCTTGCCCCACACATGTGCTCTCTAGGGCCCTCCCAGGGACAGGGGCTGGCCTCTTCGCCCCACCCTACTCTGCGCGGACCAGAGGGGAGAAAGCCATACGCAGCTGTCAGCACAATTATGTAATACGATGCTGAGACCCGCCCTCCCCTCCTCCGCTCTACTTCCCCTTCCCCAGATTTGTAAGGTGTCAAGACTCTTGAGGAATCTTGCCTTACGCCTGCTCCCCTCCCACCCCTTAGAATCAGGCCTGGCCATAGTCAAGCTGAGCAGGTTTCTTCAGGAGCCATCTGGGGTGTTGCTGGTTGGTGACGCTGCTGAACAAGTTTGGTGACTGTTCTAAGCACAACTGGTTTGACACTGTTCCCATGGCCCCCTCCGTCCCCACCACCCGGAGTAGGTAGCATGCAAGGAGGAGGCTTGTACACTTTGCTGCAGGCACTGAGGGAACTGAGTTGGCTCTGACAGCCCCAGAATCTTCTGAGGAACTAAAGGAAACCGGGTGAGCCTCGGAAATCTGCTCAGCCCACGGTGGGGGTTGCTTGGCTGCTGTCCTGTACCTTTTTTAACCAAAATAAATATTTCCCTCTTCTTGCCATACCCTTGGCTGCCTGGCACCGCCTTTACTTTGGGGCTGGGGTTGGGGCGTGGGGCCTGTGATGTGTGCACAGGAGAACATCTAGCTCACCCTCACTGCCAGCTTCGTTCAGTGCTATTTTGGAGATTCAAAAAGGAGGCACGACAAAGCCAGAAGTGACGCAACAAGAGTGACCAGCGCCCTCCTCACTCTGTCCCTCCAGTGCCCCTGGTCTCAGCTCCAGAGACCTTCAAGCCTTAGCTGACCTCTGAACTCTGGAAGGTCCCAGCCTGGGCTGAGACAGAGGGTTTAACTCCAGTCTGGGACTGTCACACCCCTGAACTCAGCCCAGCCCAGGGTAACAATCTCACAGAATCTTCTCTTTCCCCAGCTGCTGCCCCACATTGGGACACACACACAGTGCGCTAAGAGCTAAAGAATAATTACAGCAGCCATTTAGCAAGGGCTTGCCAGGTGCCAGGCCCATTTTCTCACCTGAACCTATGAGGGAGGTGATGTCAGCCTTTTTACAGATGAGAAAACTGAAGTTCAAGGAAGGCACAGGAGTTGCCTGGAATACCCCAGCTGATAAAGCACAAAGCCAGGATTTGAACCCGATCTCTGAGGCACTGAGGGAACTGAGCTGGCTCTGACAGCCCCAGAATCTTCTGAGGAACTAAAGGAAACCGGGTGAGCCTCGGAACCCTGACCTCTGACCCTTCTGCATTGCCCAAGGAGTGAACAGGGCTGCTGTAGGAGTAGAAGATCTCAGTGGGAGAAACCCTACGATTAGAGAACGTCATGCATACCCAGCAGGGGGCTTAGAGATGATCTGTGCCAGCCTCCTTGTACTAATGGGGAAACTGAGGCCCAGAGGCAGGAAGGGACTTGCCCAAGCCTTATACAGAGCTGAGATGCAGTCCCACCCTCTGACTTCATTCCATTCTCTTTCCAAAAATTCCACACTATGTCCTAGACTGGACTGGACGAGGAGATGTGGGAGACTCTCAACAGCAGTGCCTTGAGGAGAAAAAGACTCAGGAAAGCTGAGTCACTTAAAAGCAATCTAATATTCCCTCCCAAAGGCAACTAGCAGAGTGAGCTCCTGGCTGGGTAACTGGACTCTGGTTCACAACTAATCAGGGGGAGAAGGTGCCATAGCTGCTTCCAATCACCTGTTTAGTTTCATCATTCCCAGACTGAAAAAAATTTCCCAGGAAGTTCTTTCTGGGCTCCAACCCGAGTGCCCCTTGCTGGACTCAGAGCCCTATCCTCTGTTCCAGGGGAGATGGGCAGCAACTGGTTGCTGTCTTCTCTTTGGTACAACCCTTTAAAGGCTATTCTTACTACCTAAGATTGGTTGTCTCTGGGACCAGAGGCCTTGAGCCTGTTGGTAGGGTGGATACTATATGGAAGGGTGGGGAGGTAGCAGGCAGGATGAGGATAGCCCCCTTGGGCTGCGGCCCCATCTCCTGCCCTGCTGACTCAGGCAGCTGACTCTGAAACTCTGTGCCCTGCCAGGGCCTGCTGCCTCCTGTCTGCCTGGGCTCCTGGGCTTGGGAAGGGGAGGCCTGGAGGCAAAGGGAGGTGCCTGAGACAGGAACTGAGTCAGGATCTACAGGCCAGAGTGGGCAGGAGGTGTTAGGTAGCCCGGCTCCCAGATCGCCCCTGAGCTTCAGCAAGGGAGGGGGAGAGGTAAAGAGGCTTCCTTTCCCATACCCTCTTCAGGGTCCCAAGCTTGTGCTGTGAACTACCACCAGATCTGGCGTGAGTGGTAGGCAGAGAATGCTCCCTCTCTGGAGACAGAAGCAGCTCCAAAATTCCTAGGCATGCCAGGCCCTGCCTTCTAGCTTTCTGGTGTTCTGGGATCTCCAGCTTTCCCCCAGGACTTGGGGAAGCCTGGGCTGGATGACGAGTACAAGGGCAGGTCCTTGAGTCCCAGGGCCTGTGTAGGCCAGAGGAATGTCTGAGATGAGGGGAGAGGAGGCAGTGCTGAGTGGGCACATCTGCCCGTTCATCCGTCTTCTCTCCCCTGTAGACTCCCAGCTGGGAAGGGTCTGGTCTTCACCTATGGCCCAGTGTGGGACCCTCCCTCTTTCCTAGAACTCAGATCCATGTTAGTGTGTTGAGTGTAGATGCTTATAGTAAGATGGGTTGGTTTTTTTTTCACATAATAATAATAGTTACCATCCACTCTATTAAGTGCTTTTCATCAACTCATTTAATCCTCACAAAAAGCCCCATTTTACACTTAGGAAAACTGAGGCTTACAGAGGTTAAGCCATTTGGACAAGGCCACGACAGCTTATAAGAACTGAACTTCAGGCAGTCTGATTCTGAAGATACTCAGCTATTCTGTCTCTCATAGAAAAATAATACATATTCACCACTGGTAACTTGAAGCCAATAGGAAAATCAAAAGAAAAAAATCTCGGAACCCCATAAGCTAAAGATAACACGGTGCCAGCTAGCATTTCAGTATATCTCCTTTCCATCTTATTTGTCAGTGATCCAATTTGAGCAAAGCCTTTGGGATGTCAAGCCTAAAATCCCTCTGCTTCCTTAGAAAATCTGTAGCCTCAGCCCAGACATGTTCCTACTTTTCCTTCAAAGAGGCAGCTCTCATCTTCAGGCCTCAGAGTTCTGGCCTAAGCCTCCTTCTGGGAGGGGAGGGTGGGTATTCAGACACCAAGAGGAACTGGGCTGGGAAGGGACGGGCCTATGAAATGGTCCTGGCTCAAGGACTAAGCTGGGAGGGGAGCCCCACCACCACCACCCGGAGCCCCTCCACTCCCCAGCTCCATCTGAGTTTTGGCTAGGGGCGGGGCAGATAAGCAGGAACCCACCCTCGTAGGCACAGTGCCAGCACCTGTAGGTGAAATTCTTGACTGACACAAGGCCAGAGCCCCAGCAAACAGGGACGGAAGGTTAGCGACTGAGTCTCCATCTCTGAGGCCTCTGCCAGGGGGTCAGAGGTAGGACCATAGTCAAAGGGGAGGGACCAGGGAAACTTCTGAAAGGCAGGCTGGGGGAGGCAGCACTCAGCTGGGGCTGCTACCCCATAAAACAAAATGGCATGTGTCACCACTGCCTCCTTTTTCTCGGTCCTGTCTCTCTCCTCAGTTGCTAGCGTCCTCCCTGGGGAACCTAAACTGGGCTGAGCAGCCAGGTGGCCTGCTTCCCAGCCTCTGATAG